TAGGATAGGCCCGTTAACCCTAAACCCAAAGAATACGATCGGATAGAGCTGAGGTTTGGATCTCATGGGTCGCCTTCATCGAAGTCTGCCTATTCTGGGTCTTGGTCACCGACTCGGGGATTTTGTTTAGGTATTTAGGTTTTTTTGGGGGTGTTAGGGTTTAGGGTTTTTTGGATTTAGGTTTTTTGGGGTAGGATTTAGGGCTTTTGGGGTTTGTTGAGGTCGGGATCCGAAGAGGCTTCTACCGGGGCTACCTTTTAAGGCTTACCCTAAGGCTCCATAGTAGTTCCTTTTTAGGGTTCATATTTAGAATCCCATAAGGTAACCCCTAAAAGGAGCTACTTTGGAGTCTCTGGGTAGTTTAGCAGCCTGATTGAGAAAACATGAGCCTGTAACACCTGAAATGGTAGGATTCATATAAGGAACCCTACATGGAGGATCATGGGACTTAGTAGGTAAGGTTATAAGTACCTTACTTGGGGGTATAAGTAGTTATAAGTGTAGTTACCCTGATTATAACCCGAGTTACTAAGTCCCATGATCCTTTAAGTAATGAAGCCCCAAGGTTTCTTAACTGATTAAGAAACCTTGGGGCTTCATTACTTAAAGGATCATGGGACTTAGTATCTAGGGTTATAATCAGCGTAACCATACTTATAACTACTTATACCCCCAAGTAAGGTACTTATAACCTTACTTACTAAGTCCCATGATCCTCCAAGTACCGTAGAGCTTGGGGTGCAGCGCTTCGGGGTTCGGAGTCTTGTCTGCAGTTCCTGGACTTTCGAGGGACAGCCCAGAGGAACGGTGGCTCAAGGGTTGATAACGGTTGATGATAGAAATCCTGCATTACCCATAATATGGAATATACCATAATTCCCATAGTTTAGGGACCTTAAGGTAATGCAGGATTTATATCATGAAACGTAATGAAGGGCTTCGGATCCCAAACGGACGAAACTCAGATTTGGTCTGTGATGCAGTTCGAGGTCTCAAAGATTTATTATTCGTGACTTAAGGTTTAGATAAAGATCTTCTTCTGGGTAGGATGTGGGAGTTTCCGAAAATGAGAGGCTACCTCTTTCGGGGTCCTTATAAAAAGGATCCTACTATTCAGGGTACTATATTGGGCTGCCCTATTCTCGGAAGCTCCCATGTATCGTGTACACTAAAACGTCTCAGGGTTGATGAACGGTTAGATTTGGACTGTAATTCGGAGAGCCTTCTTGTTTCCACTGTGGTAAGTGTAAGTGCTACTGACAGCAGCATGCGGAGCAATAATGTAGAAGCCTGAATAGGTACAATCGTGTTCTTTAGCGCTCCCGATTCTACTAATCGAGAAAGCTTCGCCAAACTCCTATTCAATGCTGATGGTCCCGATATTTCAAGCTAAGTCTTCTTTGCCATAACTTCAAGCTGTGGCGGTTCTTTAGTACGTAGCTCCTTTGATAACAGAAGCACTGGTTCTATTATCGTAGGAGCTGCTGGCACATCGAAGGATTCGATAAGTAGAGTATACCTAGAGTCTCCATTGTAGTTCCCTTTTTGGTTAGCCAGTTTTATGGTTAGGATCCTATAATAGAGATTTTGGTGAACCAAGAAATGGGAACTACAACGGAGACCATAGGTAGAGTATAAAAGCCTTCGTTGAACTTGTCTGTCCTACCCCTCTGCTCATGAAGAAGTTTGGTCGCAGTTGCGCCCACTGTTCCTCAATCCCCTTGCGAAGCCCTAAACCCTAAACCCTGAAGCCTAAGTATGCGTGTAAACCCTCGTAGGGCTCTACGACTCCCTCTACGACTAGGACCTCGAGTAGGCCCTTATTTTTATTCCCTTATTGTTATCCCCTTTTTCTAGGGTTCAGGTGCCCTTAATTAAACACCCCCCTTTAAGCATCTTTAAGCCAAAAAGGGCATGGTTTTTATTCCTACGTTACTCTTGGGTCTAGCCCTATACTCCCCTGCGAACACTAATATACACGAGTATGAGCCCATGCAAAGCATGCCAAGGTCTGCATCAACGACTACGTGGGTAAGGCTCCTGACTACTTTGCGCTTGACTTGTACGTAGTATCCATTATGGAGTTTTACTTTCCAGTTCCCAAAGGGTCCAAGTACCATTATAGAGGGTATTTGGGCCCCAAAATATATACCCTTTGGGATTCATCTTATCTCATAAGATCCTCACGAAAATTGGTTCAATAGACAAGGAACTGCAGCAGAGACTGTAGGTAGTATAAAGTCTTGGCTTGAAGCACCGTTCGGGTCTTGCGGTTTAAATCTATAAACCCTACAGCCAACAGTGAACGCAAAAACGAGAAGGGTTTGGCTTCGGGATGCAGCTTTACGATGTAGGCTTTGAGAGTGTAGAAAAGCTCTATGCGAAGCCCAAAAGGGTATTCCTAAGCAGTATTAGGAAGACCCCTTTGAGGGGACCCTTCTTAACCCTGCTGATGGCTCTCTTAATCAAGAGACGTTATTGCGATGGTCTATATCCCCAACGGTCCCGTAATCCTAACTCCTAGGTATACTTCCTCGCTTTTTGTTCGGGATGAGGGTGCGAAGAGATCCGAGGTATCAGCCCTCAACCCTAAACCCCTGGACCCTCAACCCCTAAACCCTAACCCCTACCCTAGACCCCAAAGCCTGAAGGTAGGCTAAATCGTCTACCCTAGACTCGGCTTAATTACAGACCTGAACCTCGAACTTAACCCAAGACCACCAACTAAACCAAAACCCAAAGGCTCTAAGGCCCCAAGGGGATTTAGGGTTTAGGGTTTAAGGGTTTAGGGTTTAGGATTTAGGGTTTAGGGGTTTAGGGTTTAGGGTTAGGGTTTAAGGCTTTGGGCCCAAAGACCGTGCTAGTTCAGGCTTTTGCCGATTTTGAGCCTTAGGGAAACATCCCTATTAAACCCGAGCCTAAACCTTGCCACGCTGAAACCCTGAATCTAAACCCTAAACCAAAACCTTGCAACATAAGATCCAAAATCCTTCGAGCTGTGATTAGGATCTGGGGTATGGGGTTTTCCGTTTAGATTGTAGCAATGGTTTCATATCGGGGAGTAGACGGGACGACTATTAGGTACTTCGGTTGATGATATAAATCCAGCATGACCCATAATAAGGAATGTGCCATAATTCCCATATATTCCTTATTATGGGCAATGCAGGATTTATATCATCAACCGTTGGACCCCGTAGGGTCGCTTCAAGAGCTCTATAAGGGTTTGGGGCTTAAGGGTCCATGTACCCAAATAGTATATACTGTGGCCCCAAAGTATCTACATTGGGACTACTTTATGGCCAAAGTATGTACTATTTGGGTACATGAACCCCTGGGGAATCACAATGCGTAAATCCAGTTTCTTAAGGACCCTAGTACTGGGAGTCCGATCTTGCTGTTTATTCCGACGGAAACCGGCTTTCTTCACATGTTGAAATACAGTCCTTACAGTCGTTTGTCAGTGGTTACTTCAATGTCCAAGCTCTACAAACCCTCAGCCCTGCCCCAAACCCTAAAGCCTAAACCCTAAACCCTAAACCCTAAAGCCTAAACCCTAAACCCTCAGCCCTGAATCTTAAACTTCGAAGCCCTAAAGTCAAATTCCTACACCCTTTACGCTACCAACATGTGCACGTTGGGAGGCTGGGCCCTGAAACAAGATGTAGACCCCTGATTAAGCTCCGCCCTTACTTGAAGGCTCATGGGACTTAGCAAGTAAGGTTATAAGTAGGTGATAATTAGGATAACCCCACTTAGGGGACTTATAACCCCAATTATAATCTATTTACTAAGTCCCATGATCCTCTAAGTAGTCAGGATGATACTAGGGATCCTTATGTCAGGGCCCTCAAAGAGAAGGATGATTACTCAGGGGCTTACGTCATGTTGAGCTTACACCTTGCTCGACTTCTGATGCTCTTCAGGTATGAAAAATTCCTAAACCCTAAACCTTAATCATCACTTCTGGGATTAGGGGTTTGAGAAAGACAGCTTCGCAGCTTTCGGCTTGGAACAGAGACGTGCGGCAGCTTCTGGAAAAAGCCGTACTATGGCTGGTGCTTTAATAATTGCCTACTTGGAGGAGCATGGGACTTAGTACGTAAGGTTATGAGTACCTTAATTGGGGTTATAAGTAGTTATAAGTATAGTTACCCTAATTAAATTATAACCCTAGTTACTAAGTCCCATGATCCTTTAAGTACCCCTAAACCCCTAAACCCTAAACCCGAAATGCCGAAGCGAATACCTTTCTTGGGGGGGTGGGGTGAGTCAGTGGCCTGGAACCATCGAATCCCGAAGGATCCCAAAACCCCATTCTAAGTAATGAGGTCCGTATATGGGTGGTTGTCAAAATTATAGTCCCTTTTTGGATACCCTAATTATTAGGTGCCGTACTATAATAGGGACCCAAAAAGGGACCATAGTTTTGACAACCACCCATATCAGAAAGACAGCCTCTACTTGCAGGGTCAACATATCTATGGCATTGATAAATATATAGTAGAATCCAGAAAGTTGGAACACCATTATCCTCATGCCTTTAAGGTAAAGTATGGGGAATCCCAGCACGAATCATCCTTAAACCATGTTCCAACTTTCTGGGGTTCACTGTAAGCCCCCGGGCTTTAGAGCCCAAAAGGAGCCAATACCCACACTGAGGCCAGAACCGAAGTATAGTCGCATCGCAGAACCCTACGATGAACCCTGAGCTCTAGAATTCTAGAATATCCCAATTATGAACCCTGAGCTCTAGAATTCTAGAATATCCCAATTCCAAGCCCTTCAGAAACAGTGTTCCCAAGCCGGAAACCGTCAGTCCTCCCAGACCCTTGTAGGGTTCAGGCAACCTTAACTTAAACCCCTAAACCCTGAACCCCCAAAGTATGTAGAATAACAGCCTTTTATGATATAGGGCCATTATTTTTATTTATTTTTGGGGGTTTAGATAAACCCTGAGCTCCTGTGACATCTGGACTGCAGAGCACCTCCATGCAAGCATGCTGCGCATGCGGATGCTTTCAGGAGAGGAGGCGGTCGGGCGAAGCACTAGGAGTTTATGGTGAAGCGGTGAGGGGTTTAGGTTTTCAGGGTTTAGGGTCTGGGGGGTTTAGGGGTTCAGGGTTAGGGTCTATAGGTTTTTATGCTTAGGGTTTGCAGTAGGGTTCAGGCTTCAAGAGGGAAGGCCTTGAACATTCTAACATTCTGTAAGTTTAGGTGAGCTTGAGCCTTGCCATAGCACCGATGTTGAGGAGATAGTAGTATATCTTCAGCCCAAGAACAGCAACTAATAATGCTAGACGAACAGTTCTAGTATGGACGGTCATGTCATGCCAGCAAAACTTTGAAGCCTTGAAGCAAGCAAACATGGCAACAAAACCCGCCACGTGAGGAGCGCTGCTACTGTGTGTGTGTGTGTGCGTTTGTTTCTGTACGCGTGCGCTTGTGGGCAAGTGCGAGGGGTTTAAGGTCTTACAATTGAGTATGTCAAACCTAAACCCTCACCCCCGACATCACCCCGAAACTCGAAACCCTGAGGGGTGAACAACTCCGAGGTGGCGTCAGTGCCTGCGGGAGAGGAGGTGGCCAACGTGAGGGCGTTGAAGCTTGTACTGAACAAGGAGCACGGGTTTCCCCCGCGATTCAGGCAAAGGCTATTCCTTCGTGGTGATCTACTGGAAGATGATTTCGAGCTAGCCACTTCTACGGACATGGTCCTAGAGTTGCTAGTGCTCGACTTCGCAAACGTCTCATCACAGCAAGTGGAGGAATTAATTCGAGCTGCCACATTCGCCGAGCTGTCAGAGGTGGGCTATTCTGGGTAGTACTACTAGGGAGACCCCTTAAAGGGTACCCCTTCTGAACCCTACTTCTGGCTCTCTTAAAAGGGGCCTTATTGAGAGGGTCTATATTCCCAAGGGTCCCCCTAATCCTAACTCCCATATTCCTAACACACTCGAAGCCCAACCGATCCGAGCAGTTTACTTGGAGGGTCGGGGGACTCAGTAAGTAGTAAGTAGACTTGTAAGTACCCTAAATTTGGGACCCTAATTGGGGTTATGGTACTTATAAGTCCCTAAAATAACCAGTTACTAAGTCCCCCGACCCTCCAAGTAGTGATCAGGTTTGAGAATCGCGCGATAATTACCACCCGGTTCTTGGATTTCTGTTACATCCTCCACAACATCCCGAACCCTATAGTAGAAGCCAGAAAGTTCGAACATGATTATCCTCATGCCTTTAGGGTAAAGTATAAGGGATCCTAGCACTAATCCTCCGAAAGCCATGTTCCAATTTTCTGGCTGCTACATTATGAACCTCAGAGGGGAAAAGGAGGGACCCTGAATGGGGACCCCTACCCTATAATGGGCTATATAATGGCTATATTAAGGGTATATACTTAGGGGTTCTTATTAAGGATATATACCCTCAATATAGCTATTATATTCCCATTATAAGGCCCATTATAGGGTAGGGGTCCCCATTCAGGGTCCCTCCTTTTACCCTTGGAGAACCTGCAGGTTGAATCCATGCTTCAGCTGCCGCAAGATCCCAATCTTACACCTCCATCAGGTGCGACATCCCCAAACCCAAATCCCAAAGGGTCCTAGGTACTGTTATGGGGAATACTTCCCCAAATCATAATAGTAATTCCTACTATAGAAACCCTACATTCTACCATAAAGGTACTTTGGACCCTTTGGGAATGGGAGTTTCCGAAAGTAAGGGACGCTTAGGGTTCTTTAAAGAGCATCATAGGGCTCCTTTAAGAGATCTATAGGGGTTCTAAAATGGTTTAGGGTTTAACGGTCCATGTGGGAGTTACCGAAAATGGGGGACCAAAATGTGGTGCCCTAAATCGTAGGATCCTTACTATAAGGACCCCCAAATAAGGTATGTACTCCTGATTTTCGGAAGCTCTCAAATGCTATTGAACAAACCCCTAAAATAGGAACCTGACAGGAACATTAGAAATCCTCAGAGGGACTTTTGTTTGGTAAAGGTGACACGGCGCTGGCAACTGCGGTTGCTGGGAACCACTTGCAGATCGCGCGATTGCTAGTCGAAGCCGGATCCCGCTTAGATGCTGCGGTTGGGGATGTCTGCTCGATGCCGCTGTCTATTGCAGTCAATGTTCCTGGCGGCGGTGTCGCGATGGTGAAATTCTTGCTGGAGGCCGGAATGATTAGAAAGCTGCCTGTGGTCCGCATTTAGTGATAGTTATGCTCGCGGATTGAAGCCCCTGTATTTCTGGAGGCCGGAGCCAGTATCGATGCAAGAAACGCCCATGGTAGCACAGCGCTCATACTAGCTGCTGCGTTTGGCTGCACCGAAGTCGTGCGTTTACTACTCCTCGAGGGTGCCGGGGTCGACTTGACGGACAGCATTGGCTGGACAGCATTGATAACGGCCAGTTCTCGCGGCCATGCAGAAGTTGTGCAAGTTCTGCTTGGTTTCGGATCCAATATGCACCATGTCAACCAGGCAGGCACGGCACTGTCCCAGGCGTCCTACGCTGGCCACGACGCAATTGTGCGTTTGCTTTTGCAGCACAGGGCACAAGTCGAAGACCACGACGTGTTTGCCGCATCTACGAAAGGTCATGTCCACTGTGTGCGGCTGATGCTGAAGGCCCCGGGCTGGAGGAATGTAAGCAGATGCTTCCGTCGAAGATCGATATGCTCTGTGTCATTAACGCATGCATCGAGACAAGGTAATGTCGACCTCATTCAAGTACTGCTCGAAGCGCGTGCAGACGTGGACATCCGGATCCGCGACTTTACCGCGCTGATGGAGGCCTCTCGCCCTGCAATCAGATTGTGCAAGTAGCGCGGACCCTATGCTTGCACCCTACTGCACTAAGGATAAGCCCTAACTAAATCCTAAAAGTAGAGACCAGTTACCCAAAGCCCAAAGCCAATTTCAAAAGACCATGTTCAGTGTACAGGAGTTTGCAGAGCTTAGGGCAAACCCTAAACCCCCAAGTACAAGACCAATACTGTCGGTACCTGAAAACTCCCTGTTCGGATAAGGAAAATACTTAAAGTATTCCTGGAGAACTGACAACGTGTAAACTGTAATACTGGGGGGGGGCAGCTGCTACATTGCACGGAACCTTTGGGAATGTTGACGCAAGACTTGGACAGCCCGTGCGTGTGTTTATGACGTCTCCTATTTGTACAAATGGGCGTGCACAATGTGTTTTTGTGTTTGTTTCTCTATCTCACTGCCTGCCTGTCTGTTTGTCTGTCTATGATATGTATATGTTTGCCATGCAGTATGTCGGTGGATGTACATGTATGTGTCACACGCAGTTCTGATACACTGCCTATTAAACCAAGCTCTTTCTCAAGCTCTCTCTTGTCTTTCTTAAATATATATATATACACACATATGTATATATATATATATGTATATGCATATATATATAGAGAGAGAGAGCAGCAAGTACACAAATCAGTGAGTAGAAAAATATGTGTGTGTAGAGGTATATACACATCCGATATTCGATGAACAGTCGCTTGTTCGGCAGCAAAGAGACGGCACACAGGCAGAAAGGCGACGGACAAGCACAAACGAGCAAATCTGAGTAAATGTTATATAAACCCGCCGTCATTCTGAGTGCAAATGTTCGTCTCGGTTTACGTGTCTTCTTTTCGTCCTGTCTCTGTGTGTACTTAATTGTTATATGTATACATCTGTCTAAAGTAAGGCCTAAGCGCCAGAACGCGATACAGGGGACTGAACAGTTTCCAATAATATTTTTCGGCTGCTTCCTGGCTATGAATACTGGCATAGTACAGCCCAAAACCCCATTTGAATCATTACCTTAACCCCAAATAACCTACGTTTTCAGGGATTTTTATAAAGAAATCATCTTAGGGGACCCAAAAAGGTAGGTTCCTTAGGGTCCAGGTAACGCCCCTGCATGAAGCCCTACATTGAAATATATATATATATATATATATATATATATATAATATGAGATGTCCTTTTATTTGTGGCCACACAATAAAAGTACATCCTTTTATTTGCCTGGCATTTGGAGCGGTAAGATTCGGACTGATCCAGGCTTCTCTGTGCAGCCGGGTGGACGTGGTTCGCGTTCTGCTGAAGGCAGGTGCCGACAAGGATGCAACGGATCGAGATGGCACCACGGCTTTGATGCTGGCATCTATGCCGCCGAGCCGATATTTCGAACTTAATTCTTGTAGAGTTCTTTCTGTCTTCAAGTCCGACGTTTTTCGAAACCTCTTACTCGACGTGCCCGCACGCTAGATGAATCGTATACTTGAAGGGACCGATATGGGAGTTTCCGAAAACAGGGGACCCTAATATAGTACCCTAAATAGTAGGATCCTTATTAGAGGATCCCCGAAATAAAGTACCCCAATTTTTGGAAACTCCCCTTTGCGGCTCGCGAGATGAGGACTGGCCACGCCGAGATTGTTCACATGCTGCTGAAGGCCCAAAGGGTCCGAGTATCATTATGGTATGTACTTATAGGGTATTTTGGGGGTCTAAGTATATACCATAATGATACTTGGACAATTTGGGAGGCGGGTGCCGACAGAAACTTGGTTTCCAAAGATGGAGCCACTGCGATGATGGAAGCTACTTGGCATTCTTCTGGTTGGCTCTTAGGACTTTAACTTTTTGGATTTCTATATCATGAACTATAATAAGGAGGCTAAAGGTTTAACTTTTTTCGAGGTTCAGAAGTCAGCCAAGGCTACTTCGTGGGGACACATCGAGGTCATGGGCTTGCTGAAGCCTCGAAAGCGGAAGAGGGGATCCCTATAAATTCTATATTCGGGTTTATAATGAGTACCGACAAAAAATAGGCATAATGGTTCGAGGTAGCCGCTTAAACTTTAGACCCCGCTGTGTGCCCGACAGGAAAAGCACCGTCGACGACTGCGCTTGAGGGTTCGCATGTTACAGACTCAAAACTGCTCCTTAACCTCAGCTCTGCTTCCTAAGCTTTACCTGTAGCCGAAAAGACCTACCTTTTTAAGGGACTATATATAGAAACCATAATAAGGAACCCTAAAAAGGTAGGTCTTTTCGGCTACAGGTAGTGACTGGAGTTCGAGCCTAAGCCCTAAACCCGTCGCAACTCAGAGCCCTGACGAAGGAGTTCTCCGCTCTCCTAGCAAGCATTATACATGACTGGGTTGTCCTTTGGGATCTTTTTTAATTCCTCCTACCATTCTGTAGAGAATCATAATGGTAAATAATTTTCAGAGGGCTTAAAGGACAACTCAAATGACATCCTCGTTCTTAAAGGGTCCAGGCACCAATACAGTAATACAGGTCTTAGGGGTTAGGGTTGAGGGGTTTAGGGTTTAGGTTCCCACGCAGTAGATATATGGGTCCCAACCGTGTATACTATACTGTTACTTGGACCCTTTGGGTCTTTTGAGGCCCTCAAACAGAGGGAGGCTTCTAAGTAGGTTTGGATTTCATCAGTGGCTGGCTGCAGCTTAGGATTATAAGTACTTTTCCGGGATGGGGTTGCTGATGCTGATCAAGGCAAGAACCGCATAATTGTTAGTTAGTAATAGTCACAAAACAAAGTCGCAATTACATGTTCAACAACAAAATATACATACGTGTGAAATTTCATTACCATAAACCGCAGCTTTGCAACCCACGGGTTGTCCAACCCGAAAAACCCTTGAAGCCCAACGAGCCTTGAGGCAGGAGCCTTCATATCATGTGAAATACGAGGGTGTGAATAGTTCATAATGATATACATTGCCCCAAGGGTCCAAAGGACCCAGTAATTAGGTACTCGGGTTTAGGATTATGTAGGCTAGGTAGGATTTTGGAGAGTGTATGATTATTGGGTACTTGGATGCTTGGGAATAAGGTTCCTCGCAGACGCATAGTAGCGTCGACTCAAGGCCCCTTGTGTAGCCGCTGCTTAGTGTCGGGATCGGCCGATGTGCTCATGTTAAAGCTACCTGGGCCCTGAATTGTACGACTTACTTCTGGGACACCCTAAACCCTAAACCATAAACCCTAAACCCTAAACCCTAAACCCTGAACCCTAAACCCTAAACCTTAAACCCTAAACCCTAAGCCAAAAAAGCAAGCGCTACACATTTCAGGCTCTAGGCTGGCCCTAAAGCTCTCTCCCCCAAGCAATTGGTAAGCCCGAGGCCCTGAGTGCCGCAATGCGTACGTGCTACCTGTACGCATATGCCCCTGCATGTTCTGAGTTTCCTGTATATGAGATGCTCTTATACGCCATAATGTTCATATGTTCATAAAATATATATATATATATATATATATACATACATACATACAGTCTCAATACACATGTACACAGATATGTCCTGAAAATGGTTGTCTCGGGCTTGACAGAAGCTTCGGCCCCACGCCGTGAACCCGTAACCCTTTTAACCCCTGATCCCTAAACCCTGAAGCTTGGAACCCCGCACGTCTCAGGCACAAAACCTTAAATCCTACTTCACCCATCATGATCAGGTTCGCGGTCTCTGTCAGCTCTTCTCTGATGAGCCGGAACCAGGCACGATCAAATCCTCCTGGGTTCAGTGTAAGTAGAAGCCCTTTGGTTCCTTTAGAGCTTGAAGAAAGAACGGTGTTTCGGGGTTTGATGATCTGATACTACTCCCTTATGGTTCGTCTGTAGTATGCATATCCTTCCCCAGAGCCCTGTTCCAATTATTCAGCCCCTTTGACGTGCGACGGTCTTTGGTCTCATGAACCTCTGTACTGCGTCTTTTTGGCTTATCCGTTTTCTTGTGCAAAAATTCGGGGGCGGAGTCTTTATTGTGTATCTTGTGGCCCGGCGTTTTTTTGGCTTGCTTTGGCCCCTTCTGCTAATGGTCTGAGTCGGTCTGAGTAGAGGATATGGAACTTAAGTCCCCAACCCCCAAACATGTTTTGGGTACCGTTAAAGGAACCCAAAACCCTAGCCAGCCTCCTTAAACCCTGAGAGTAAATGTTGTTTTTTGTTGGGGGGGATCCCCAAACCCCACTAAACAGCTCTAGGTACTCCCAAACCCTCGTACGGTGCGGCTACTGTATACTACTGTAGTACTACTGCATTACTACTATACTACCACTGCCCTACTGTACTGGTAGCTATCTTGAAGTGATCGGGGCTTGGTTTCGAGGTTTTGGCAACATCTCAAGACCAAGCCCCTGTCACTCCAAGATAACTTAAACCCTAAACCATAAACCCTAAACCCTAAACCGAGTGTACGGGCACCGAATGGTCGAAAGGCGCCGGCCCAACACTCAAGACAGTCGCACACTCTACCTAAAAGCCTTAGCGCTGCTACTGGCTTCAGAGTTCGGGCAGTGTTTACGATTACCGTCTTGCATCTAGAAAGCCTGTCCGTTCTCTTGCTTGCACCGGACGCTTTGAACCGCTGATGAACCATCCTGGCGGGGTTTGAAGTCTGTACTTGTAGGAAACCTTACGTTATACTCGCAGCACCCAGTCTATGAATGTTGCAAGACAGAGACAATCAAACTACTTGTAAATCCTAGTACCCTTAAAGTAACCCTTACACTAGCCCTTATAGACCCCTTTTCGGGGAACCCCTATTCGAATAATTAAGGCACCTATGTTAAACCTTTAAAGGGAACCCTGATTCGAATTATTAAGGCCCCTACCCTAAGGGTCCATGTACCCAAACAGTACATACTTTGGGCCCAATGTACCTATATAGGGACTACATTATGGCCAAAGTCTATTCTATTTGGGTACACGGACCCTTAAACCCTAAACCCCTATAGAACCCCTATAGAACGCTTATAGTAATCCTTAAAGGAACCCTTAAAGGAGCCCCTATTTGGGTACATGGACCCTTAAACTCTAAACCCCTATAGAATCCTTATAGAACCCCTATAGTAACCCTTAAAGGAACCGTAGGATCCCTTTTCCAATAATTAAGGCCCCTATCTTAAGCCGCGACTTGTTCTTTCCAGCTGGAGGCCTCCTACCGCCACCCATCCCAGACGTGGCGGCCGGTAGGCTGGGGATTAGGGGACTTAGGGTTTACAGGGTTTAGGGTTTCGGGTCTAGGGTTTAGGGTTTAGGGTTAGGGATCAGGGTTTAGGGTTCAGGGTTTAGGGTTTAGGGGTTTGGTCAGGGCTTACTTGGAGGTTCATGGGTAGTTGTACGTGGAGTTATCAGTAGGGTATCTGTAGCTATAACTCATGTTAAGGGACGTATAACTCCACTTATTACTGCGAGGTCTGTTAGTCCACGAATTATGTGGGAGTTTCAAAAAATTAAGGGTACCTTACCTTGGGGTCCTTATCAGGATCCTACCTTTTTAGGGTACTAGATGAGGGTCCCCTGTTTTCGGAAACTCCCATATGGGTGCATGGAGCCTTGCATTTATCGGAGAACTGGAAGCTCTCTGCCTGCATAAAGGAGCCAGCGGCTCAGATTGATGGTTGCAGGCTTCCACACCTTTGCCCCTGAACCTTAAGCCCTAAGACCCCGAGACTTCAGACCCCACTTGGAGGTTCATGGCTAGTTTTTTAAGCAGAGTTATAAGTCCCCTAATATAGGTTATTATAGTGATCTTACTTACATCTCTATTTATAACTACCCCTGAACCTCCAAGTAGCCCACTCTAAACCCTATAGGCCCTAAACCCAAGACCCGTCACGTCGGACCCTGGGGTCCGGAGCCAAAGTCCTGCCCCAACCTCGAGAGCCTGAACTCAAGCCCAACGCCGCTTGGGGTTTGAGGGAGTTTAGGGTTGAGGACTGAGGATTTAAGGGTTTAGGGGGGTTGAGAAAAAGGGTTGGTATTTAGGGTTCGTGAGTCATGACGTGCATGCCCTGTAGAGCATGGCGTGCGACGTGAGATGCTCCAGTAGGCGCTTCCACGATGTGCGATGCCTGAAGACCCACCTAGGCCGAACTACAAACGACTGCGAACCCTTATAAAGCCCCAAACAAAAACCCCTAATGCCTATATCGTCGAAAGCACCTGCCAGAACCCCCAAGTACCATTTAAAGGATTTTAATAATATTTTTCGGTAAGAGGTAGTTAGAGGCTACAATGACGGGCAGTTGGGGGGTCTGGGTAAATCCTGGAACCCACAGAAACCCTGAGCCCTAAAGCACTGAGCCTGGAATCTTTGAGCACTATACAATTCCCAATGGGAGATACTTCCCAAGTCATGATGGTAGTTCCTGACATGGAAACCCCAAATTCTACTCTAATTAATACGTAGGGCCCTTTGTGATTGACACGTGAGACTCAACCCTCGAGAGACCATTGCGGAACCCCACAGCTCTGTTGTTGCAGGATCATGAGTCTTAGAAAGCAAGGTCATACGTACTTAAAAAATGGGGGCCATAAGTAAGTATAAAATATGTTCAGTTACCGTCTTTTTCGTAACCTCGTGACTAAATTGACTAGATCCAATGTCCTTGAAGTATGGAGGCCCCAATTAAAGCCACATATCCTGAACCCCTAAACCCTAAACCCTATTCCCTATACCCTATACCCTAAACCCTTTTGAAGCCCTAAAGCCTCCCCTGAAGATCTCCGGTGTCGCTGGAAGTCGAGGATGAGGCTCCTGGCCCGACATTTGGATTTTCGAATTATCGTGAATCCCAAGAACCCAGAGGGTCCATTTTTCCAAGGGTAAAAGGAGGGACCCTTAATAAGGACCCCTAGGTATATACCCTTAATATAGCTAGTGTGTACTCATTATATTTAGGGTTTAGGGTTTGGGGTTTAGGGTTTAGGAATTATCGTGAACCCCCCGAGAACCCAGAGGGTCCATTTCGCACTA